AAAAAAATCTAAATAATGATATTCGATTCATATTTCTAGACGACAATTCTCGTTAGTCTTCTGTGACCTAGTTCTCTTGCTATTTGTTTAAAGGCACTAATGAGAATTTGAAATGAGACAGAGGGTTTTATCCATAATAAACTAACCTATTTTCAGAGCATATCTGTAAAAAGCAAACTGTCCTTATTGTAGACTAAAAAAAAATATGGAATGAACTATAAATTGCTCAGTTTGTCTCCTCAAGCCACATATATTTTCTGTCACCTTCAGTGTTTTGACTTTTTAATGAGAAAAATAAAACAGAGAGAATAATATGCTAAAAAGATCAAAGCTCAGAACCCTAATACAGTTAGCAGGCTTCATTTTTGGAATTGTATTCATTACTGGTATCAGAGTAACAAATCTATTGAAGTCAATGGAGATGGCCTATGGGAATTAAAATAAATTTACTCTTTAAGACTTTCATAAAAGAACAATAATGAAAAATATGGGAAACTTCTTACAGTGACATTAATAGACTTCTTTCTTTATTTTTTTTAATTTCTATTTAATCAAATAGACCTGTAAGAATAATAAAGTTTACAGAGCTCAATATTTTGGATATTATGGCTTTGGATATTAGATTTAGATACAGGAAAGAAATGTAATGTTCACTGTATAAAAGGTATTTTATCAGACAGATTCTGGGGGAAATGGATGAAGCCTAACTACTTTCCTGTAGGTAACAAAAATGTTTCCTGTCAGGTAACAAAAATGCTTCAGTGATATTTGGGGTTTTCATATTCCCACCACAAAAGTCCCTGAATTAATATGGTTTTGATGTGTGCATTTCTACTTTTCACCTGAGTTCTAATTCTGTTCTCACTTTCTACCTCATAAACTGGGAAAAAAAGTCTAGGTTATTAGTTATGGGTTTTATTTCGTGAAGTCTCATCAGATTTGAGAAATATTTGTAGCCAAGTCATTCTAGGTGCATGTTTAATTTGGTATATTGCTTTTACTTTCCTCTATTAAGACCAGAGCACAGATGCAACACAGCAAAACAACCCCCAGTGAAATCAGTGAATGCTGTGGGTTGGAAGGGACCTTTAATGGCCATCTTGTCCAACCCCCCTGCGATGAGAAGGAACATCTTCAACAAGACCGGGTTGCTCAGAGCCCAGTCCAATCTGACTTGAATGTGTTCAGAGATGAGGCATCCAAAACCTCTCTGGACAACCAATGCCAGTGTTTTACCACCCCCATCACAAAAAATTCCTTCTTCATGTCCAATTTAAATTTACCCTCTTTTAATCTGAAACCCTTACTCCCTGTCCTGTTACAACCGGCCCTGCTAAAAAGTCTGCCCCACCTTTCTTACAGGCCCCTAAAGTACCGAAAGGTCGCAATAAGGTCTCCCTGAAACATCTTTCTCCCTGAATATCTCCAGTCTGAATCCCAGTTCTCTCTGTTTGTCTTCACAGGAGAGGCATTCCAACCCTCTAATCATTTTTGAGTCCCACCTCTGGATGTGCTCTTGCAAATTCCTGTCTTTATCTAAGGACCCAAGAGCTGGACACAGTGCTCTGGCTGGGATCTCACCAGAGTGAAGTAGAGGGGCAGAATCACCTCAAATTCACTCCCAGATAGAAATGTTTACTTCTTCTGTGTGTCTTTGCTACCTTTGCTGTCATGATGGGCCCTTTCTGTACACTTGATGCTAATGCATCCGAGCCTGTTTTGCCAGCTCCTGAGAAAAATGTGTCGGTGTTGGAAACAACAGCTGAATTTTGGCCTCTTACATAAGAAGAAATCCAGACTCAGAGATGTTTTAATTTTCTGCATGGTAAACAAGCTTAATGAGATAGGTGAAATAATTTTTAAATATATTTTTAACCGTTACATTTCTGTTAAATTAAGGACAGTAATAAATCTGTGCAGGATGGTCTACCTGCTTTGAGAAAAGAAGAAAATTTAAAGGTGATTTACTTGATTTTCCACAGTGAAAAGTTCTCTATTTGCATTAGCTACTTCCAAAAAAGTGTAGAGGAGAAGCCAGTTGTTTTTTAATGAGGCATAGTAAAAAGACAAAAGGGAAGGATATGGAGGACAAAGTCTCTGAACTTATAAATGTGTTCTCTTTCACTGGTCTGGAACACCAGAGGTCTTGAACCTGAGCATCTAATTTTTTAACAGTTAGACAGTTGTATAAATCTTCCCTGATTTACAAGTTGTTTGTTTGTTTTGTTTTTCTAGTTTAACTTTATTAGCTGCCAGTTTTTAATTTACAGCTATGAATAAGGGATTCCGAAAGAGTAGATCTCTGTATTTTAAATACTAGTTTAGCTTGTAATTATTAATATAGCAAAGAGCAATCTAGGAGTATATGAGCAATTGATTATATGGATGTTTTTATGTGTTTTCTTCACTTTGGTTTTCAAGGTTTTTTTATCTGAAACACCCACAGTGTAACATATAAGATGTTCTTCAGAGAAAATGGGTTTGAGTCAATATATTATTTGATTTTCTTTGAACAGAGGAATATTTTTACTATCAGCAGTTTGTAGAAGTAAGCATTCTGTCATTGTCAATTATATTTGATCAACAATGTGAGTTTTATGTGGATAAAACAGATTAAAAGAAAAATTATAGCTGATGGTAGTCTACTATTCAGTAAAAATAACTTCATGGATAAATTAATATTATCGTCCTCTACATGATATACAAGGTAATAAGGTCTTCAAATCCAAAGGTAGATGTTTCTATTTTAAAGTTGCAAATGAAAAACAAAATTGATATTTTATTTTAAAGTAGGTTGTTTTTTTTTGTCTGAGGATGATATTGTAATAAACTAGAAATTGCATTTTTTTCTCTATGGAGTCCCCAGAGAAATATGGTTCATCTGGTCCTATTGCAGTTAGCATATGGTGATAATTCTTACCCAAAAGGTGGTATCAGAAGTTGTTCCTTAGTTAGAGAATCTGAGGAAATAAAGTATTGTGAATGCTTGCAGTGCAGTCTTCTGCACTAAAGCAGTTCTTACCTTATTTTATAATGAGAACAATTTTTTTTTATTCTCCTAAATCGCTAATGTGTGCAAATAAAGTTCTTCTGCATCACAATTGGTCAGATCAGACAGGAGTTAATCACCTCAGATCAGGAATGATGATACATTTAACCACATATTCCATTCAGTCCCTGGATTTAGCTTTGAGATAATAAACTGCAGTCAAAGTGGTTCTGTTTACTGGAATTATTTATTTCAGAATGCATACTAAGAAAAGATTTTGCCTTTAATTTACCTTTGAGTCAATAAATTATTCATAAATCGTTGGTGAACTAAAGTTAGATGATTTTATGTAATTTTCTTCTTTGGCAAAATTACCCTTGTTACCCTTGCTATAGAAACTTGGTAAAATAATATAGAGGGTTTGTTACTGTCCTGATCTCTACAATAAAGGAAATTCTCTGTATCAATAAATTTTAAACCCCCAAGTCTCCCTAAAATTGGAATTCTTGTGATAATGCTTTCAAACTTTTCTTCTAATGAACTGAATGCTTCTGCAAGTTCTTTACTTCATATCAAATAGATTCTAGTGATGATCTGCACCACTGACAAATGAAATGTAATACTTGGCTGTAGATGAGCAAAAAAGATATTAGCTGTAGACTGGGAGTTATTTTGATGACAGTTGTCAAGAAAACAACAACGGAAGTAATTACAGCAGATTGTTCTGAAGCAAAATATATTCCATGAATTCATTTGTGTTAATACTCAAAATTTAAATAGTTTTAGATTTGGGTGGATACTGTCTCTAAATATATTTATTTTGGGTTGAGGAAGAGATTTAAATTACAGAATAATATGAGTTTGTACAGTTAAAAAGGGCTTTTTTAAATTTGGCATTGTGATTCTCAATGAAGAATCCTTAAGAACTAATGACTAAACCTGCAGTAAATGATCCAAACCTTGACTACCTTCTGCTCTGTAGCTGGACTCTCTGCAAATAAGCTTCTAGGCACACCCTCTCAGAGTGCCATCCTGGTGCCTCCCCTGAAACTAAGAGGCTTTTCATTCTAAATATTCAGACATAATTGATCCTTCAGTATTGATCTTTTCAGACATCATCTGAGAAAATTATGCTCACAATGTTATGGTGATTTGTTAGATCCCAAAAATTATTGATCACATTTTATATTCTGTAAAGCCAGAGATACAAAATATTTGCAGGTGCATTCTCTTTTCTTCTAGACACAGAAAGCATAACAGGAATATCCAAAGAGATTGCCAGAATGCTCAATCCTTCATCTTTCTTTTTTCTCTGTAGTGTTGTCTTGTCTTTCACTCACATCAGTAGTTTGTTGGAGACAGAGATCTCTTTAATAAAGTTGACATTCCTCCTGTCAGGTTTTTGTGCTGTAGCTCTTGGTCACAGGGACACTTACCATGCAATTCCCAATTTCAGTCACATAAAGTCCCCCAGACCAAGAAAATCTGCTCTTGAAGCTGGAGCCTGCTACTGGTGATGAGATGCCTCCCCTTCAAAGGAGGATTAGGAGATTAATAACTCTCCATTGCTAATTCTCTGCTGGTTGGCTCAGATTCTCTCTTAGCATCTTTCTGGGTATTCAATCCAATATGCAGGCTAAATGACCAAAAGGTGATTGCAGAGGGGTTTTAGAATTCAGGCATATGTTAATCCATCGTTATTGTAGAGTTAAAGAAGAAAATAACAAAACCCTGGCAGCAAGAAGAATAGCTGTAGATAAATAGGGACATATTCTGATGTCTTAATATTAACCTCTGCTAATGAATCTATAGACCCAGATACACTTTTGCAGCTTTTTCCTGAGCACTCACAGTGCTGATGCTTGTAACTCAGTTTAAATAACAGTGTAAAACCTGTGGTGGTTTAGAAAATGGTATGTTCATGACAACATAGATTCAATTTACAGTTTTGAGATTATTTATCAAGTATGCTTATTTGTGACCTTCCATTTATGTTTGCTTTGGCTTTTAGCTCCAGACCAGTCTGTCTGAACCAATGACTTTATCCAAGTCGATCTCACTTCCTCGTAGTGCATATTGGCATCACATCACCCGGCAGAACAGCGTTGGAGAAATCTACAGTTTACAAGGCAAGTTGCTTATAATGCCATATCCATTAGCTTCTTTCCATTTCACCAGAATTCATGCAAATTGCTTTTTATTTGCACTGGTTATTTTCTCTCCATTTCATTTTATCAATTGTCAGGAACCTCAGCAGGGTTCCCAAATTTACATAAAACAGGTTTCTTTTAGTCATTTTGTAAACAAATGGTGAAAATTATTTCTAGAATCACCACATAAAGCTGGATAGACAATTTGGCTCAATGTAGCTTCTCAGTAGCTAGTGAATGTCAGGTTGTTTTAGTATTTTCTACCAATGAGATGGGGCAAGTATTTGGGCAACCTCAGGGTGCCTAATTAAATCTACATAAAGTGGCTATATGAGTTGCAAGATTAAAACAGAGTAATTCTAGGAAGGAGAGCTATTCTTGGTAAATTTGCTTGGCAAATCATATATGTGAACTGTTGACTCAACTAACTCACAGACCTTCAACAAATCGTCTTCTGTCTATGGTTTTCTTTCATATGTTTGGATTTGCTAAAGCTTTTAAATGCTATAATTAGCACAACTTGATGATGATGATTCACTGCTCTTAAGCTGAAATTGATTTGTATCTTTTAGGAAAATGAAATTATTGTTACATTTAAAATGTAGACCTTTTAAAAATAGCCTTTTGTAAACATATCGCTTTGTATTATTTCTAAAGGCATTAAGGATTTCGTTTTAGTTCTCTCTTAATAATCTGTTTGCATAAACAATTTACATTTAGATAGGAGATTAGAAACTGCTTACAAACAAGAGTACCCAATGCAAGGAGACAGTACATATTTTCATTAAAATAAGTGAAATCCAGTATATAGATGAAGGACATTAAATGCTTTGTTTTGTGAATTATCACATAAATTAAAATCAGCAGGTGAACTGTGCATTCAGTGGGTGAGTCATTAAAGGGTACAAGCATTTGTTTCCCATTATTCTCCATAGAGCAAAGTTAATTTTTAATCATGGTTATACTCTTACTTTTAAATACCAGTAATGGAAAAAAGAAAATAATCTTTCAGAAGCTGTTTGTAAAAAAAAGTTATACTTGTACATCACCCTACATACAGTCATCATATCGCTGATATTTTTTCATGGACAATAAGAATGCAAAAAAGAAATTTATTTGTAGAGATGTTAGATTTCTTCTTCTTGTGTTCTTGATGTGTCTTTTCTTCATCAGCAAGATAGTAAATGTGTTATATTCAGTCTCAACAATCTTTTCTTCCTTATAAATGGCCTTCAAAATAAAGAAAAGCAAAACTTTATATATAAAGTAACAATTAAAATATCTATACCATCAAGCTGTGCAGGATTCAACATAGTGAAAGTGTATTAAAAATGTAAGAATTTTTCTTTCTGGAAATATGCAGATTTTATTCACATTTCCACTGAAACATGGGGTTAATAAATTATTCAGAACTTAGTATTTTCATTTTTCCTACGTGTACTATGATGACTGAAGCCTGAGAAAATGTAGTTGGTTTCGGGAGAGACTGATTCAGTCTTGCCAGTGGGCAAGGAAGTGCATCCAGAAGACTCTGGTTGCAAAATTTTTCCATGCAAGACTACCATTCGCTATCTGTAAAGAAAATCTCTTTGAACCTTCTGCTGCAATTACTAATTAAAAACAATGAATTTGTGCAGAAAGTGAAGCGGGTGCAAAGTACACCTTTTCCTCCTCATACCTTGTCATAGCGACAGCCTTGGCACTGCAGGGCTGTCAAAGCATCAGCCCACGGAACCTCCGTAGATGTGGGTGGAAGGTGGGTAGCAGGGAAGCAGATTGCAAGCATCACTTCAGCCCTCACCTTAGCAGAGCAGCCAGCTGAGAGGAGCTGCTGCAGAGGGAAGAATCACCTTCTGCTGCCATGATCTCCTCTGAGCTTCAAAAGGTGCGCTGCACCTTCGGAGAGGAGACGTTTTCTTTAGAGAACGGGACATTGAACTTAGCTCTGCATTTCATGGGCATTTACAACAAAGCTTTGAACATTCAAGAAACAAATTTGAAAATTCCCCACATACTTCTAAATATCTCACAGACTCTAAAGTGAAATAAACAGAGTGGTGTCTACCTATATCCAGGTGACGGTCAATACCAGTAGTAGTAGCCGGGCTCACTGCTAAATGCAAGTGTTTCCACAGGGGCAATTATTTCAAACTTGCAGTCTGAAGTGACGAGAATTTAATTAATAACAGCTGGTGATGTATAAGGAGAAATGAATATGTGCTCATACTACCTTAGATAAATTGGCTCTTTGGGAGTTATTTAGCAGTCAAATTTAACTTAATTAGTAGTGTGTGTTGATCTGTTAATGAATATTCTATGGAGTAAGAAGGTAGTGGGTTTTGTGATTTTTGGTTTTTAAAAACTACATTTCAGATGAAAAAAGGCCCTTCAATAAATGAGTGTTCGGTCTATTATGCTCCATTAGCCCATGAAAATAGTTACATGTAAAGAACTGTAGAGATTAATACGTAGAATAATAGAGCTAAAGTAACACAAGTTGCACAAAATATTATAAAAGGTTAGTTTCTATCGATAATCCAAGTTTGCCTTCAATTACAGTTCAGAAATTAAATAGTGTCCTTTAATATTTATTATCAAAGAGTAATTTAAATAACAGAGAAAAAAGACCTCTACACCATTTTTGTGCATACTTGAGTACGACATACATGAATTGTATGTTTTCATAAATAATTGACAGCTCTAAAAAAACTTTGAGCCCAACAGAAGACAAACATTCATTGATATGTTATGCTATCATACATCAAGATCTAAAAATTTATAAAAAATTAGAAGCCAAGAGTAACCTTATTAACCAAAATCATGATTAAGAAGGAAAAACTCTAAGAGCCATATAAGCATGTAAAAAATACCCTGTATGTTTCCTTGTAATTCAGTGTTTATTGTTTATACCTACCATAAAATTTAGCACTGTTACACAGGATATTAAAAATCGAAAAACAAAACACATGAATTTTTGTACAGCAAAAGATATTAACGAGAATTCATCTTTTTTGGGGTTTTTTTGTTTTTGTTTTTGGGAGTTTTTTTGTATTTTTCATTTAGGGCTTTAAATGTGCTTAAAATGAAAAAAAAAAAAGATTACAGACTGAATTTTCAGGTATCTGAAGAACTCTAGTTCTTGCCCTTTAGAGTTTGGATGATACGAATGTTAAACACACTTAGTTTGTGTATTATTGTATAAACAGGGCCAAATAGAATTTTGGTATTGAAACATTAATTAGCTTTTTGTATTGCAGTTGCTGAAATCCCTGAGGAAATTATGTTCAGAAAATCTAATTACAGCCTGGCCTTTCTCCAAGAAATTCAAAATTAAGAAATGCTTTCAGTCACTCCTGTTGTTTCGATCTGGTTTGTCCTCCTTTTTTGGACTTGGGTTTTGCTATCCATACTCAAAATAATGGACACCTACCCACAAAGGCAATGCTACTCATTCAGTGAGAGTACTTATGAGAAAGAGCATATACTTGTGTAAGAATTACACCAGTAACATCTTACATGTTTCTTCCAAAAAGAGAACTAAACTAAAGGGTTGGGGTTTTTTTCCACAGTATTGTTTATCACAATTTGCTTATAATTATTTTTATTTGCTATATCACAAATTATTGCCACAGTTTGTTGTAAACCCATATCAAAGTAATTAAATTACATGGAAAAATACTAAGAAGCCTGCTAAGAGTCATATTTTTAAACATAGTGAGGAATTTTGAGAAATAAAACTATCATCTTTGAACAAATAGGACTTCCGCTTGTAAGCACATGCCAAATCCATAAGCAGACCAAAATAAAAAATGGCCCCAATGAAGTCTGAAGGAATTTTGCTGTTAATGTACAATTACCTTTTGTATGTCACAATAAAGATGCAAGAAACATAAGGTTGGTTTTGCAAACCAAAATGGAAGGAAGATGTGGTCCCTCTGTGGCCTTGGTGAGCAAGCCTGCAATGCACATTGTCTTTTGGCCTTGTTAGGTGAGAACTCACCCTTCTTTTCTTTTTTTTTTTTTTTTTTTTTTTAATATTTTAAGCAGAGTAACATGTAGTCTTAATCTGGTCAGCTAAAAGGTGTTGTGCATAAAAGGGAGACAAAGTAACATATCAAAAAAACTGTCTACACAGTTTTCCAACCTTTTCGAAGTAGAAACTCTGATAGGTCACTAAAAATGATCAGAGAATATTCAGGTTGCTAAATATTTAGAGGGGTTTGAATCATCCTGTTCAACCTTCCTTAAGATAATCCTGCAGGAAATTCTGATGTAGGCTTCTGCAGCTTTCTGCAAATTAAAGCATGTAAAATGAATGGGAGTGCATTTGTCATTTTGGCATTTCCATTGTTTGTTCATATGCCCAGCAATAGAGTACGGAATCCATTTCCCCATCTAATCTTGGTGCCTGAACAATATGAATAACGCAAAATGTTAGAATATATCTGTTATATAAACCTGATCGCTCAGTAATTTTTCAGTAACTGTCTACCAGCAGCTAAAGCTGAAATGCTTTATAGCCTTCCACATTCCCATTTCCTTTGCTGAATTGCATCAGGACCTTCACATTAGTAAATGAAGCCTATAAAATTTGAGATATGAATAAAGGACACCTGGAACAAGATACTTACTGAGTAGAAACTGCATAAGAGCTACATTATTTAAAATGACTGTATTACGTGTCTTCTCAAGTCTTATGCAGTAGATTTGATCCTTTCTTTTTGAGCTTTGAATTTCTTTGCTAAGTAGTGCATCACTAGATTGATTCTAAAATGGCATATTGGAAGTGGGATATGTCTTACTCAGAAACCAGTAAAGAACTCCATTTTGCTCAACAGTGATTGCTGCCTCTAACCAAGAGCATTACTGACAAGCGCTAAAGAGTATCTTGACACATTCCCATTCATTCTGATAAATCATTGCTGAGTTAAGAGGTTGTTTCAATTATGAGCCATGAAAAATAGAGGAAGGTGGGAAAC